AGAGAGATCCCAAGCCTCCCCTGATCTGTCACAACAAAGGGGGAAGGGGGCAGGATATCTGTACTGCCGGATGTCCACGGTTCCCCTTTGGCAGTGGCGGCGGCAGCAAGTAGCTCTTGAAGCCAGCCAGAGCCAACTGCACTACCAGGCTGGCTCCAGGCTGCTGAGGCTGCCACTGCCACGATTCCTGGGGACAGATTAGCAAATCTGGGGACATTCCAGGGATGGAATTTGTCCGGGGACAGATTAGCAAATTTGGGGACATCCCCAGGAACCGGGGATGTCTGGTAACCCTATCCTATACCCACATTGGCATACTGATGTCTATGTGAAGAAGGCCAGATACAGGTAGGGTTGCCACCCATCCCTAGAAAAAATGGATTATCCTGTTTGGATTTCAGGATGCCTTTCTTCACATCTGAAAGTAGTCCTGTATACAGAAGCCTTTTAGTGGCTGGGGCAACCCAGTCAGATGGGCGGGGTACAACAACAACAGCAGCAACAGCAGCAGCAGCTCCTGCTCATCCTCAAAACTGTGCAGGCAGAGAGAGTGGGTCTGGTGGGAGGAGGAGAGCGAGAGCCTGAGTGGGAGTCTTTTATGGTCAGAGGGTGGTTCCATGAGGAGGACAGCTGAAAGTGAGAGTGGGAATTATCATGGGGCATGGGCAGAGGGTAGGGTGGTACTGGGGAGAGGAGTTTGAGAGAGAGAGTTTTTGTGTGGGCAGAGGGTGGGTTGCAGAGAGAGAAAGATGGGGTTTGTGGGAGTCTGGCCAATGCAGGAAAGAGAGGGTTTTTTAGGAGAGCTCCGTAGGGCCATTGCCTGTTGGTTCCATTGTAGGACCTTTGTGTGATTTATTCGGTCATTTTATAAAATGATTCCAATCCCTTTTTGTTTCCCAACAAACAGCACTTACTTTAATCATTTGTTTTTCCTGCCAACTGTTTTTTTTTAAAAAAAACATATCTTCCCTTAGGTTTCTGCAAACAGCTCTAAGAGTCTGCCCCTCACTGCTGCCGCTGCTGTGTGTTTGCTGCTTTTTATTCATTTCCAATTTTGTTTCCTCTTTTTTCCCTTGTTGAATGTTCCCTCCTCCTCTATTCAGTTTTTGGGTACCTATGCTTCCATAACATTGAAATCAGCATGATTAAAACTTTTGTTATGGCTTCATTCCCCTTCCTCCATCCAGCTGAGGAACTTTACCCCCAGGTATAGAGGGGGAAGTAGGCACTTTCCCCCACTTACACATCTCCCTCATGTCACCATATTTCAGACATTTTTAGATGGCTAAAAATACAAAACAAAACAAAATAGGGAAGGTTATGTGGTTTCTATTTGACCTACCTCAAATCAGTAAAGTTTGCCTTTAGAGGAGAGCACCACAGCCCATCATTCTTTACCCAAAAGGCTTCTTCCCCTTGGAAGGGGCAACCTGCAAATTTCATGTAATCTGGCAGAAAGTAAAAAAGAAGAAGATATATATTAGGCATGTGGGAAGACACAAGATTTGCCCACACTGGAAGAATGGCAGACGCAACTGATGGACTATATGGAACTGGCGGAAATGACTGGCAGAATCCGAGATTTGGGAGAAGAAACAATGGAGGAGGACTGGAAAAAGTTTAAAGATTATTTACAAAAACAGTATAAGTTGTATGAATGTTAAGAAATTGCACGATTCAGAAAAATATGGTTCCAGTAAATTTGACTGTGGGATATAGATAATTAAGTGATATGTAAGAAAAGGATGAAGTTTAAAGCAATATTTATGTTAAGTTTAAGTTACAACTAATTGACAATAATTACTTTAAGCTAAGAAATATAACATTTGAGAAGTACAAAATAAGGAATGAAACAAGGTAATAATTTGCTGATATTTTTATTACAGAGAACGCAGGGTAAGGGAGATGTGAGGAAGTCCAATTAGTTATACAAAAAATGTTATGAATCAGTTATTTTTTTTCTTTCTTCTTTTTTTCTATAGGTACTGTTGGTGCATTTGTATTTGTTTCTTTGTTTGTTAATTCTTTTGGTGAAGGGATTTTGTGTGCTCAATATGTGTCTTTTTGTTTTATGTTTGAAAATTTAATAAAATATTTATAAAAAAATATATATTAGGCATGTGCACCAGCACCAGTCACAAGATCCAACCTTTAGTTCTGGGAAACACTCTGATCCATTTCAGAGATGCTGTTTATGTTATGTACTGAAGTTCTCACCTTGGG